TTTAGTTTTGAAGCAATAGTCAGTTTTGAATTGCATATCTGTAAACACAATTTTTTTTACTGGTATGCTGGCTTCCGCTTACCGAAAGTTGGCAAAATAGCATATTTTTAATTTTGGCGGCGCCGGCAAAATAGCCACTGCCTTTAAACTATTACTTTATCTAGCAAAAAAGTTCCGGGAAAATATAAAAAAGGATTCATTGAACCATTTGAAAGCATTATATTTCAATTTTTACAAATGACTACATATTTCATGCGCTTTAGGTACAATTAGAGATAGCAGTACTATGTAATGTGGTCAGTGACGTATAAATGGCAGTATTATAAGAAACTATTGTTCATTCAAGTGTTTAATTCTGAATGTTTGCTTTGAGAGTAAGCATGTTATCCTCTGGAATGAGATGATGTTTATGAGTGGTTATGGTGTCTGATGACTTTTGTACAATTATGATGTGTTCTATGATTATTGAAGTACATGTAATGCTATGTACTGTCTATACACAATGTTTATCTTTATCTGTGTTTTCATGTTTTACTTCTTTACTAGAAAATAAACTTTTCTGTGTCTAAGTGAATCACGGTTTTCTTTCCATTTCAAATAAGATGATGTGGTGTGATCAACTATCTCCATACTTTTTTACGACTGTACCTCGCTCGCCAAGATATTTTACAGCTTTCAATCTAAATACCTTCTGCCCAATAGAAGACATTCATTGCTTATCTTTTAAAATCTTTTATTACTTTTAATTTAATCTATGATATAGAATTATGTTTGTTTACATGTAGTCTGCAATTTCTATTTCGTGAATATCAATACAGAAAACGAGTATTCGGGCCACTTATACAAAATTTAATTGAAGCGCTTTTCGCAGCTTAAACGTTAATATTAGTAAGTTTCTGTTAATAGAGTTAAAAAAAAAACAAGATATAGGGACGAGATTCAAGAAATATTTTGTAAAAAAATTCTTGTGGTAAAATGATTATAAAGTTACAAGAACGTTAATGAAAACAATTTTAACGTTACGCGCAAATGGCTAAAATACCATTGTACCTTGGTCTTTTTTAACGCCTTGGAAAATTATACAAACACAGTTGCAAGTCTAATGGTTATCATTTTATGAACTACACTAGTAAGTGATCCTTCTGCAGTAATTTCGTCAATTTCTGAGACGGGGCCGTTTTTAACCCTTCGTGGCCCTACTCCTTTACTTTTCGGAACTCATTGAGTGACGTCAGTGGTCTTCGGAATAACCTTAACTGACAGAAACATGAGAAAGAAATATATAGGACATCGCTTCAAAAGTAAATCGAACCAACTAAAACACTAACGTATTGGCGAGGACTTTTTTTTCCGATAAGGTATATAACACAATTTATGTTAATATATTTGTCCACCGAATTATGATTTTATGAAGCTGAAAGTGCACTGTGGGTACTATAAGAAGTACCCTGTGTACGCTGGGTACGTTTCATGTAAGGAAAATTACCTATGATGAAATGAAAGCTGCCAAAGATACCCAGGTTAAATTTATATCAATCTTAAAATCGTACACAGGTTGTTTTTTTTGGAAATTTTTGGTAATTAAGTTGATGTAAGTCTTCTGCCAACAGTCTGCACCAAAATCTTTTCCGACGTCTAGTCCGAAGACCAATATTCCAACATTTTTCTAAATTGAACAAAGTTTTGCAAAAAAAATTATTAGTCTGGGGCATCGCACTAGTGGATAACGGTGCAGACTAAGCCAATTAATTTATAAAGAGAAATAAGCATGCGAACCGAAACAAGATTAGGATCACAAACATTTTCTGTTGTTTTGTAATTTTATTTTATTTTTGAATGCTTTGAACTTTTCAATGTTTTTAGTCTTTTTCTTGTTTTTATTAAGTCTTGGAGTTCTATGTTTAGGCTAGAGATATGATTCACACCAAAATGGGTGGATATTGGATTAATTTATATGAAATTAGGCTAGAGATATGATTCACACCAAAATGGGTGGATATTGGATCAATTTCTATGAAATTATGTCCCAATGTTAAATGCTGTATAAAAGTTTAAGAAAATCAAAGACCAATATTAGATCATTTACGATCACTTTGAATGATATAAAATCGGCTCTAGATTAATTTTACATAGAAAAAATTTCTTCTCTTCCATCTCCCACCCCCTTTCTCCCACCTCCCACCTCCCAACCCCATGCCTCCCACCTCCCACCACCTCTTCTCCCACTTCCCTACCCCCTTTCTCCCACCTCACTTTTTAGCTGTCCACCCCTCATCTAAACATGAATGCATGATAAACTTCTGAGAACATTTTGAAAATACTTAGAGAGATTAAATATTGTTTCCTATATAAAGTATAAAATTGGCCAGCAAAAGATATTAACCTCATAAATATTTCAAAAATAAAAATGCTCAATTGTTTATCCATATAGATAATTCACGCTACATCCTTTCAATTTGAAGGTTTAACTTACCTCTTTGTCTAACCATAAAATAAACAGCAAAAATAATTGATATACTACAGTAACGGGTGAAACTCTTTTTAGGATACCCACAAACTTTCTTCCCTTGTATACATTGCATATAGTTTATATACCGAGTAAGCCTCATTTCTAAAATTCTTTCAGCTAATATAAAAAAGAAGATGTGGTATGAATGCCAATGAGACAACTCTCCACAAGAGACCAAATGACACAGAAATTAACAACTATAGGTCACCGTACGGCCTTCAACAATGAGCAAAGCCCATACCGCACAGTCAGCTATAAAAGGCCCCGAAATGACAATGTAAAACAATTCAAACGAGAAAACTAACGGCATAATTTATGTACAAAAAATTAAAGAAAAACAAATACCGGTATGTAACACAGAAACAAACGACAACCACTGAATTACAGGCTCCTGACTTGGGACAAGCACATACATACAGAATGTGGCGGGGTTAAACATGTTAGCGGGATCCCAACCCTCCCCCTAAACTGGGACAGTGGTGTAACAGTACAACATAAGAACGAACTATAAAAAACAGTTGAAAGAGGCTTAACTCATCAGATGGATAAAAATACAAATACTACAAATACAAGTGGACGTGGCCGGGTACTTGTACGTCCAAACAACAAAAAGACACTAAGTTCAGATCTGAGAGTACTCGCAGTTACTAACAGCTAGTTCAAAGCCACTTACAACTAATAAAAAAAATTATGCATCTAAGACTAAATTATCAATCCGTACACATCCAACATCCAATGGATTTAGTGTAAAGACATCATAAACAGTCAGAAAAAAACATGACCTTGTGCAATGCCAAGATACAGGTATCGACAGATTGTAGATCCATGAATGTGTATATGTATATAACAATAATATTTAGTTTGCTTTTAATTTACTGATAACAAAATCAATATTAGTACCAATAAAAACAATATTTAATGATCTAATTACAGTGTTGAATTGGTAACCTTTTAGAATATGTTTATTTAAAGGATCGATAAGTTTACCAGGATCGTTTCTAAATATCCGGGCACGGTAAACAATATTGCCGTAAAAATGAGGATGTGCAATCCCGTTTGAAATAAGTTTTCTACAGGTACAACCAAACTTCAAAACCAAATCTTTATATCTGTGAAATAATTTAGTAAAGGTTTTAAGTAATTTGTGGTAACGAAATCCCTGGCTTAATAATTTACCAGTAATACATAGATTACGTTCGTTAAAATCAAAAACGTCACAACAGACACGGGCATAGCGAACGAGTTGTGAAATATAAACACCGTAAGATAGTGCCAAAGGAACATCACCACCCAAAAAGGGAAAATTAACAATAGGGAACGAAAAATCGTCCCTTTTGTCGTAAATTTTATTGTGGAGTTTCCCGTGTAAAACCGAAATATCTAAATCTAGGAAAGGACAGTTGTTATCGTTTAAATTTGATTTATTTAAAGTAACTTCCTTTGGGTAAATTTCGGCAGTATATTGAGAAAATTCTTGATTATTTAACGAAAAAATATCATCAAGATAACGGTAAGTGTTGTTGAATTTATCAATTAAATGCAATTTACACGGGTCTTTACTGAGTTTGATCATAAACTATGATTCATAACAGTACAAAAACAAGTCTGCTATTAAAGGGGGGCAATTGGTGCCCATAGGAATACCTACAACCTGTCGATAAACTTTGCTGCCGAAACGTACATAAATATTATCAAGGAGAAAATTAACAGCTTCAGTCATCTCATCACACCTCCAGTAAGTATATCTAGCATATTTACCTTTCTCATTAGAGAAGAAGGCTTTAAATGAGTTGTAGTAAATATATTTGCATTCAGATTTACCAAACGACCATTTAATTAAATAGTCAAATTTTTGTTTGATAAGATTGTGTGGAAGTGTAGTGTAAAGAGTAGAAAAGTCAAAACTGTCAACAGAATCAAAAAGACCATCAAAAGCACGTAATTTATCTAAAACATCCAAAGAATTTTTTACACTCCAAAAATAGTTAATTCCACTATTTTCATATATTTTATTACAATAGTTTATAAGCTCTTTGATAGTAGTTAAGGAACTTGTTAAAAGCGCTGAAAGATTAGTTGTAGAACACTTACTAGAGGCCGAGATGAAACGATATTTTACTGTTTTTTTGTGTAGTTTAGGTAACCAATATATAGTAGGGACCTTAAAATGTTCAGAAGAAGCCTTAAGCTGTGATGTGGTTATGATATGTTTGTTACATGTAACTATATGACTCTCTGTGGGGCGCATGGACTTTTTTTTAGAATTCTTACAGCGTCAATTTATATATTTAGAATTTATTTAATTTTCCAGAAAGCGTTGCCTATATATTACAGTAATGATTTTACATTGGTCTGCTTCCTTTCCGGTGAAAATTACAAAAAAGCATTCAATTCTTATATTACATTTTAATGCTATAAAAAATTAAATTAAGCCTTTCGTTTGATTGTCTATGCATAGTTTTAACGTACATATGTAAAGCACACGCAGTCATAGATGTTGAATTTTATTGGGAAATAAAATATGACGTTTGGAAAGCTCCGACCAATTAAAATTACGGATTCGTATGAAACTTCTATGTAATGGAGTTATAAAAAAAAAAATTCACGATTTTATCAAATCGGTTGACATGTGACAAGTGGTCAGTTATACGGGAATATTACAGTAAAATGTTTCATATAGCAATTCAGAAAGCAAACAAGGAATCGTTTGACTTTTTCTATCTGACTTTAAATTCAATTAATAGTGTATTGAATCCTTGAGAGTAAATAGATGAACACATGTAATTCAATTAAAAAAATAAGGTCAGTGAACAGAACTTTTAATTAACATAAAAAAATTAAATCAACCTTGTGCATGGCTACACGTAACTTCACTTGCTGATACTACTCCGCAAAAATTATGGACCTATACTATCGGTTGTCTTTTGAAGCATGTACTCTCAAGAAGTATCCAAGTTTTTAATTGAGCTTCTGTCAAAGCCTGTTTCTTTTGGATCAAGTACAAAATAGTCCTTCGTCTGACTAGAATTTGATTCTTTTCCAGAACTGTGACATTTATGATTTTCGTACGTAGTTTCGTTTGGGTCAAGGATAAAGTATTCGTGTGGCTCACTCGATTTCTTTGAGTGAGTATCATATTGTGAATTTGTGATGTTTGTTGCAAATTCCGCATAATCATAATGTTTGGCTCCAGTTTTTCCAAGAATTTCCGTAAAACCTTTCTCTGTTTGTCGGACTTCCTCATATGTGGCATTAGTCAATGCCGATTGTTTATTCTGGTCAAAGGAGTCATACACGGTCATATAAGAATGTGGTTCGATATTATTGTATTCACTTTCACTTTGCGGGGAATTTTTAAATTCTCTGTAGTAATGACTATCTGTTTCATTTCCAAGTGTGGTATAGTTTTTATTATTTTCTTGAATATCAGAAGCGTTTGAGTGGATGTAAGTAGCATTTTGATTCCCTGTGTAACCTTGTGCACCATTTTTATTTTCATAAGGGACATTCCTTGCAAAACAGGACAAAGAAAAACTAAAATATAAAATGATATGTTAATGAATTAGAATTTGTTCTGCAAATATTGATTATATTGATACAAAGCACTGAATTATGATAAACATATACCTTTATAATGCTGTCATTTTTTTTTAGGTTAATGTAGGTAATGTCAATGATAAAAAATATCTAGAATTGTGGCAAAACAAATGAATCAGAGAAAAAGTTTTTAACAAGTTACGTTAAAATTTTCATGTTCTACTACTCAGTACATACAACTTGAAAAGTTGTTAACAAAACCAATAAAATACTCATAAACCAGAGAAGTGACATTTGAATTCTTTTTATAAAGCAAATTTATAAAAATGCTTATCTTCCAGTAAATGAAATTAATAAGTATATTCAGATTGCAGTCTAAATTTCACTAATGGTATAACTTTGTAGAATCAACACATTCTAAATGAACGATTTTTAAAAGTTTCAGTTTAATACCTAGTAAACGCTTAAATGCAAATCAAATACAGTTTTCAATAAATATGAATAGATCTTGAAACCCTCAATACGTACCGTTTAAAAATGAAGATTAAAATTATCAAAGCAATGAAACCAACACCTGTTATAATGCCTGCAACCAATCCTGAAAAAAGAGGATTTACTTTATATCTTGTAAGTCCTTTACTTACGCATGCTTGTAAATATTAATACATATGTGCAAATTTAATTGACATTTGTGTATGGTCAAAGACCGTATGCGACCTGTAGATATCTTCTGGGTTTTCGTATTGTTGCGTTGCTGTCCCATTGACGTATGCAACCACACTCTCCTTTTATTTATACTTGGTTCATCACTATAATTTCCCTATAAATGTTTATATTGATTATACAAGTATTTAATTGGATATCTCCCATGCTACATTCACAGAGTGCTTTTTTCAAATTATATCTCTTCAATTCAGATTTATTAATGAAAATTAAATTATTTTTATCCACAACTACTATAACTGAAATTGTTTGTGATCTACACATGCTTTACCAGCATACTCTTATCTGAACAGACTTGAATGGACCATGTGTGATTCATTTTTGTTTGTATGTCTTTTTTTCCGGAGCAGTCGGGTGACCCATGGTTGGTGGTTGATGCGGTATGTTGTAATGGGTTGTATTTTAGATTATTCTTGATTTTCGTTTTTTATCTACATTGCAAAAAAATAATTCATTTGTGTCGATGTTCAATAGAAAACTTAGAAATTATTGTAAGGTGTCCTTTAGTACCTTGTAGTGACTGTCGCATCACTTGGAAGTTCTTTCGTGCTGAACTATTTGTTTTTTTCTTTGAGTACTTCATATTGTGTTAGAGACACCTTCCTCGTTTGTTTCAGGTATATCTATCCCATATCAATTATTTTCCATATACTATGATGTTGTAATAAAATTAACATTAAGTAATGTTGAAAGTGGAAAGGCGAGATTGATTAATACATTTACTAACCTGCTATGCTTTTGTTGCTGTTCATCTTCATTTGACTAGATGTGGATTGGTTGATATGTTTTGTTGATATACCTGAAATAAATCAATAGCACGGTAGGTATAGTGTCCGGCTAGGATCGTGGTTTTTCGAGTGAATCTGTCCATTTTTTTTCGAGTGTAGATCGGGCTTTTTCGAGTGATAAAACATGCGATTAGGTCAATTAACTGCTAATTCGTAATTAAAATAGTCTTTTACATGACTACCCATCTTATTTGAATACTACACATGTTTTGAGTAAGTTCAATTCCTTGTATTTAACCATTAAATTCAGTGTTTGTTATTGTCCGGGTTTTTTCGAGAGGAACTGTGAAACCGTCCGGGTTTTTAAACAAATGGTCCGGGTTTTTTTTAACAGAAATTTTAATAAGAAAAAAGGAATTCTTGACTTTAAAAAATGACTTTTCTAGTTTATAAAAGTAATTTTATGAATGACAATATCATATTTTCTCAATAAATCACCAAAACATATTACTACGTTGATCAAAATTAACCATTTTCAATTTAATGCACATTTTCTGTTCGGAAAACGTTCAACCACAACTTTCCAGTATTAAATTAGAAATTATTGGATTCTTTATTAAAAGGTCCTTAGAACATAGTGCAGGGGGACTCATAATCATTTCAACTTCATTTTTATGGTACTTTTGTTGTCACAGTTAATAGTTTTTTTCGCAGTGAACCCCGGAATTTTTATACGTATTATGGTATACCGTTGTCCGTCCGCCCGTCCGTCGTCAGCATGTCGGACAATAACTCAAAAACGCGGTAAACAATTTACATGAAACTCCGGTGAATTGTTTATATCTATTGAGGTATCCTCCCTTTAGAATTTTAAAATTTTTAGATTTTACGTTTCCGAGTTATGGGATTTTATTAAACAAACTAGAGGCTCTAAAGAGCCTGTGTCGCTCACCTTGGTCTATGTGCTGAAGTGCATATCAAACAAAGGACACTCTTCTATTTTAAAGACAAGAATAGAATTCATGACTAAATTCTGTTTTGGTGATGGTGACTTGTATGTAGATCTAACTTTACTGAACATTCTTGCTGTTTATTCTATCTATAATGAACTTGGTCCATAAGTTTCAGAGGAGAAGATTTTTTGTTAAAAAAATTGCGTTGCTCATGATCCGCTATCCTTAACATTAAAATACAGTTATTAAGCTGCTCAGATTGTGATCTGTTCAACAGCAATTTTAAAACACTCTAGACGTATAATTCCGAGCATCACGGGACAACACAATGAAAAAATTAACGGACGTCGACGACGGACAACGACGTATGCCAAGTGATGAGAAAAACTCGCTTGACCCTTTGGGGCCAGGTGAGCTAGAAAGGGATGACTTTACAGTTTTGCTTTGCGGAGTTTTCATGAAACTTTGGTGACTGCTTTATATAGATTAAGGTAACCTCCCTTTTAGTTTTTTTCATAAATTTTTTATATGGCATTGAGAAATTATTTATAGGTTTCATAACGAGTGAGAATGGATATCGCTTGATATCAACTCGAGTTATTTAATTTCAATATAATAATAAACGAGCCTCCGGTGATTTTATTATTACTTTTTGAATAAAATAACGAGGGGGAAATTACTTACTTACTTACTTACTTGAATTAAATAACGAGAGTTGATATCAAGCGATATCCCATTCTCACAAGTTGTTAAACCTATTTGTCTTATGGTCAACACCATCACTGTGTTAAATTAAAATTTCCGCGAATCGTTGGTCTAGTGTTTTGCACACGAAATGTACATCGTCGTAACCTTTGATGGTCGTCAATGACCTAACGAATAGCCAATGGAAATGCCGTAATGTCGTCTTATGATGCTCTGGATAAGCAAATAAAATTAACGCAGATTTTCATATCACTTTTTCGTATCACACTCCGTGCAGTGTGATATAAGCAATATCTATTCATGCAAGAAATATATAATAAGCCACAACCATGAGAGAATGGACTTTATTCTTTGAAAACGCGACGGGCGTATCATGCGCCCATGGCGCAGCTGTTATTATAAAACGGAGTAAGAAACCTACTGGACAGCAGAGAAGAATCAGAAAAATGCTATGTAATACAAAATATTCTACTACAAGAGGTATGCCCCCTCATTCACACACATTCACAGACTTAATCCGACCAGTTTTTATTCCCATTGTAAATAAAATCTGAATTAAATTTCATATATAGTTAACAATGAAATGAATAATTCATCAGCTTAATTTACTATTTGTACGTACGTCTCAATCCAAATTATCTATGCTTACATTAGATTGTTGACATCATGAATATAAACTGTACATGTAATTTATAAGATGTGACAAACAAAAATATATACAAATGAACGATACTTGTTTATAAAGTGTAAGTGTTAGTACACCTTTATCAAACTGACGAATGCATTGGTTTTGTGCCTTAAAAAGTACACAATTTGAACCCTTTTTTATTGTTTTTAAACGCAAATACACTGACACATAACATTCTAAGCTATAGGAAATTTGTATAATCACTCGATAAAACACGGACGCACTCGAAAAAGCCCGGACTGCTCTCGAAAAAACCCGAACACATAGAAATGAATTTAGTCTCAAAATGTCGTTTTCGATGCAACAACAAGAATTTTTGTAAAGTGTCTGTATATCTAAGGATATATGGATTCCATGTATGCATTTCCATCGACATTTGCATTGGTATATGTATAAAAATGGCTTTATTCTGTTTTTTGGAATAAAAGCATTGTAAGGCTAAATTCAACTTTTTTAACGAAAAATAATGTCGGATTGATAATATCTTTTTATCTCAAATACTAACACACCTTGTATATCCTTGTATATTAAACTTAAGCTTCTATATCACGTCTTGTTAGAAAGGAAGTCTGTTTGTTTCCATTTTTTATTATATTCACTCGAAAAAAAGTGGTCACACTCGAAAAAATCCGATCAAATCACTCGAAAAACCATGATTCTAGCCGGACACTATACCTACCGGGAATAGACATTCTATAAATATTCTATATCAAATATATTATAAGGCCATTTCTTTTAAATTTATTTCACTACAGCAACGTTTTATAACACTTTTTCAATTATTTATATCCATGGTGTCCGTGGTAAAGATTTATATGTACAATAAAGTTTTTACGACATTTTTGCGTATTTCCGAAATTATTCAATGCCTGAAGATGGCTCAAACCTGCAGTTTTTATAGACTTTGGTAAAATTTTATAAACTATGAAAAAAATGTACAAGAATCTATTCTTTGCGAACAGATATTTCTAAAGGAAGTAATTATATATATGTTCTCTTTCAAATACAAATTAATTTTCTTTCGTTAAAGATAACCTTCGATGCCTTTTACAAAACCATGTAAAAGACTCAATGTTGACTTCAACAGCAATATGTGGCACTTGTTAGCATCTTAATTTTATGAAGTATGTACAGCTGCTGAAATTTTTAAAAGTATATTATGTAAACACTTAAATTTTCGAATTCCAGTGGGTGTTTAATCTTTCTGGTTTTGAACCTGTGATTAAAACGAATGCAAGTAAAATTTGCTTTACCTCTACCTAGTTACTGTTAGAATTATAAGACGACATGGTGTGTATAAAGGTGACTCTACAATCAAACAACGTGTTTATTTGCATTCATTTTGACAGTGTGCTGATTTTAGGGATACTTTTGTCTTCTTTCTAATATATGTTGAAGACACGAGACTATTATGTAAATTTATATTTATGTTACAATATTTGTAAATTCTAATTACATCGTTTCATGTTTTACTTTTACTTTAAAATTAGTTATCAATGATTTCTCCCTGCATATACATATGCAGTAACTGGAAGGAGGAAGCCATCCGACAAATGATTCACAAAGCCAGATATAGGTGTCCTAATGTTGTTTTCCGTTGGAAGGAATCTTGTTTAAGAGATGGAATGTCACAGATTACCACAGCTCAGTAAAGTTTCACTTGCTTTACCTTTTTTGCCATGTTTTTTTTTTTTTTTTTTTTTGTGGTTGCCCAACAAATACCACGTATCAACGGCAGATTCTTACTTTTCAAATGGAATTGAGTTTACTAAAGTTTAAGCGTTTGTATTGATATGACAATCTTACTATAGTTTACTATGCTATATGTTCATGTTGGCTGGTTGGTCTTAAACTATTCCATCGTGAATTTTCATACTTACAACATCTTCTTATTTCACTGTTCTTACTTTTTTATTTTCATTGTTGAAATGTATTTGTACGTTTTCATTTCAAGGAAAGATTTTTACAATTTGTCAGGTTTTTCTTAATTTATGATACTTCATTTTTTTTTTTTTTTTTTGCAAAAATATATCACTACCTGTAGCTGCCTTATAGGTTACAAATCCTAAGGTCATAAAGTGTGTTTATTAAAAATCATGAATATTGAACAAATGTTTATAGAATACAGTCACACAAATTATAGGTAATCTGCATGATTATTAATGTAAGAAATGCATGCTTCTTTTTGTAATTTTATCGGGGTTTAAAAGTGTTGACCGAAGCACATTTTGTATAAAGCGCGGAAGCACATCGTTCTAAAAATGTGTGCACGATCAACAATTTTACAACCCTATCAAATTACTAAAAGAAGCATGCATTTCTTATAATCACATTTTTATGCTAAGGCCATGAAAAAAAAGTTTTATCAACTTTTTCTTTTTTTTACCTGTGCACTTTTTTTGTGGAAGCACGTGTCATCGCGAATGTAACATTTCATTTTGATATGAAGTTTTAATTTTTTTTTTAATAAAGCGCTATTGTTGTTAACCAATCAAACTAACGGATTCTCGTGAAACATACATATAGAAATGTGACGCGTTGTGGCTTAATCATTTACAAGTACCTGATCTTGCTGTTGCATTCATGTAACTTGAAAATGCAGTTGAATTATTTTTCTTTTCTGTTGTGGAAGGTACGGATGTAGAAGAAACTGTAGAATAATGTAAAGATGTTGAATTAACATTTATTTGAAGTTATTTTCAACTCCGAAAATGTCAGCACAACCATATTTTCAAAATTTGATATAAACTGAAAAAGGGTTACTGTCAAGTCATTTGAAAAATATAGAACTATGAAAATATTTACTAAGGTTCCAACTCCATCGGGCACAGTTTGACCTAAGATAAATGTGGGTAGTTTTTTTAGCCACGGTTTATTTTGGTCAAATTGCGTTCTTATGTTTCTACGTATTTATACATCACAGACTTTCACATTTTTAGGAATAAGGTCAATAAGCGTTCCTGTTGAAGGTAACTCCAGAAACGTGGTTTGGGGCACACGAAATTCCTGATGTGATTTGTTTCTTTTATTAAATAATTAATATAGTATATTTCATAACATAGACAGTACCATTTTTTCTGGTATTTATGATGTAATGTGTAAATCTATTTGTTTCAGTATTTATGAATGTTCGCTGCTGAAATTCAAATACACTATTCATACATGACTTAATATATATTCAGGAGTACTGGTTTAATATAAATGGTACAATACACACCAGGGGCACTTGAATCTAAACAGTTTGAAAGTAAATTAAATCAGTTGAACAATCAAGAAGACGAGCATTGATAAACAACTTATTCCAAAAGAGTGGTGACCAAAATGTCTTAGCTAAATACATGCCTAGGACAGAAAAAAACATAGTTTGGTCATTAACATGGTACAGTGTAACACTTTATGCTCTGTCAAATAGAACTTCAGGACAATGACAAAGACAACGACAAAAAAAAACAGAGTAATTCCACCGCAACATTTTATGGACGAATTCACCAATAGAGATTACTTGAATTTGTAGAAAATAAAATTATTCAAATTAGCAAGCTGGAATAAAAACTTTTTTTTAAATAGTTATCCTTACGATTTGTTCTTTTATGATACATGTAATACTGTCGCATCAGACCATTATTTCATTTGGCATTGCATCTGTAACCACAATTTGACATATGTTTTTTTTTAAATCAGATAACCCATCACAAGGCAGAATTATTAATGTACAAATCATGTGTCCGTGTTTCGCTTCAATAAGATAGACCACCATGACACGATATAAACTTATCAACAGATCAAAACTAAAACAATTTATGCTAAAACAACATTTTTTCCTGAAATTTAAAATCAACCACCCATCCTATATCGTAATACCTTTCTATGTCACTTCCCATCGATGCCATCTGTATTATGTATATAGAATGACAATTACGCCATTATTTACCGTGTACTTACTTTTTACTCCACTGTAGCAAGCTATAAAGTCAGCCCTGCATCCTTGATTTACCCATATTGTGTTGGAAGTGTAGCCATAGGTTACATTAAATACGCAAAAAACTTCATCACTTTCATCAGAGTCTTTCTCCTCCTTGACAGTCACAGAAGTAATGAAGTTGTCATCTGGTACTGCATTAACTTTACAGGACTTGTATCCACCATTTTTGCTCTCGCATTTTTTCTTTACACACTGTTGGGTTTCTATAAAAGATAAAGCAAACTAAGTGAACAACAAAAGGCTACATTGCACAATAGAACAGATTAAAAGGACAGAAATAACAGCAAACATAAAAGCTATAGAACCTCATGTACTAGTATATATTACATATACATAATATATATTTTCCCTATATTCTCGAATTTTGGTTGGAATTTGCGATGAACCCGTTGTACTGGAGAAATGCAACTTATCTTCGGATCAAAATCCGCTTTGTTAACGGGTCTTTGGCAATTAAGATTTCTTATCTTTCTAAAATAGGCTAATAATCGTTTTTCATAGTTGCAGATGCTCGGTCTTCTTCCGGATCCACCTACTATACAGATCTTAGCCATTTGAATTATGAATTGTTTTGGTTAACGTATGAGTATTAACAATTAAGTTATATTGGCAACAGTTAAATTAGAAATAGAAGCTTTAGAAACTCATGTATCACAAAATTTCTGTTTTGATCTACATGTTTGTTGAGTGTTTATCTCTAAAATTCAAAAATACAGGAGAAATGTTAGTACTTCTTATCAAAAGAAACTTAGTGTGGAACTGTTTAAATAGGGAGAGTGCACATGCTTTCCATGCTCACTTCTAGATAAACATGTACAGTTATCAGGAAAACTCTGAACCAAATTTGGGAGTGTTAAAGTTATATAAGAGGGACTATAAATATAATATTCGCTTCTCCTAGTTTGTAGCTGTGGTAGAGACAGGGGTAAAGAAAATAGAAACACGCACATTTTTTTTGAGAAATCAAACTGTACTCATGACAATGTATTTTATTTATTGTAATCGTGATCACTTTGGTAGCTGTTACAATTTTGATAGTGTGACAGAAGAAAGGATACCAGTTAATTACGAATCGATCTAACAAGAACACAGTCGCACTGCAATACAAAAATAAGGAGATATAGTATGCTTGCCAATGAGACCAAAGGACTAGGATGTAAACAACTATAGGTCACCGAAATACTTTAACAATGAGCAAAATCATAACGTATAACAAGTTATAAAAGGACCCGACAGGACAAAATAGGAAACAAAGCCTGCATTTTACAGTGTAAACAATCAATTAGTTCAGGAAATTATAACCCCAAAGAATGGCTTGAGTGTACCAATATGATCGCGTTTACTTTTCCCAATGCGTCAATTATACATATGCTGTGTCGGGTGCATGATTACACAACCACATCAGGTTGAAATAGGAACGCTAAATCCGATGCTTAGTGAAAGAAGAGTTCAACGCTCTTTGCACTTTAAAAAATTCTTCCAACTTTTCTTTGATGGTTCAGCTAGTGGCATGTTGCAACGCAAAACTCTGCTTCAAAACATCATACCTTTTCAGATTCAGATTTGGCATCCCTGTATCCCAGTCGATACACTTTACAAACCTACCAAGTGGGTTAAATGACAATTTGGTATTGTCATGAATGTGTACATGTCATATTTGCTGCTGGACGTAAAGCAAACAACAATCAATAAACTGAACATGTACTTACATTTTTAACAATCACGCTTTCATCCATCATATTTTACCAAGGATATCCTCCATTTCTTCTTGCTACAACCCGTCTTCCTTTCGTGTTTATTGTCACCGAATGCCATTTATCATAGGAATTGTACCTGCCTTATGCAACACGCTAGCTGCCACTTGTGGAGCTTGAACTGCTTGCTCTTACAAAGCACCAAGTTCAACATTTCCCCGGTTTCCGGTGGGTTAGTTTCAATCTTTACCTTTTGTGTATTGAAATGAAGAATGTTCTGCTATACTGCCAGTGTGTTGCCTTTCTACAAATAATGTATTTTTGACTGTCTCCTTGGTATCTCAAGTCCTTCTTTATTTCACAAAATAAGCCAATAGATTGATTGGTTGATTTTTGCTTGCTATACTTCTATTTGCAAATATTTCATGCATGTTCAGGACGTGAATGAATTAACAATTATTTCGTTAGGAAGGTTCTGCAAAGGTTAAGGGTTGGTGGACTGCCATTTGAAAATAAGGGTGTATTGGACGGGGGTATACATTTTGCCTTGCAACAGGCCACATACGAATCCATCAGAGAGTTGTTTCAAAGGTTCTTTATGTGCAGTGAGTGTGGTTCTCTCCTTATATAAGGCATCTAATTTAACGTCCGACCGGACGTGGCTGCGTCTTTATGCATCCCACTTCATTTTAGTATGGGCTCCCTTGGCGGACGGGCATATTTCTGTACCCAAGTCAACCATAGGGGTTAGACACATAGAATCGAATGTTTTACAATTATTTAGTCCATCTATAATGTATTTACAAGTTAATATGAACACATAAAATAGACATCTTTCACTTTATAATTGTAATCAACATTTCTGACATTGAAATGGACATAGAGCGGGATTGTCACATGATTTCAAAATTCATTTATCAGGTGACCTCAAATGATCTAAGGAAACAATTAGCTAAAAGAAAATATATTTGAAATTAATTAAAACTTACGTATTTCTTGGCACAAAAACACAGAAATCAGGATAATTGAATATGAATATATATCCATTCAGTACAAACGTCAAATAACAAATAAATGAGTCACAATAATCAAATATCCGTAACAATACTAAAAGGTGCAAATACTAACAAACTGTAAGTATTTATTGTACCCTTTGACCTGTGATTTTATTTCATCCGTATTTGGTCAGATGTTTGTTTATATTGGTTAAATTGAATATCAATAGGATGTACATGTAATTTAATCGGATAATAAACTATGTTGACGTTTAATTTTACCGCCTCAGTATTATAAAAGTCATACTGTTACGATAACTTAAAGGCAGTCCACACAGTACTAATTTAATTATGGTGTCAAACTAAAGTATAGTAACTTTTCCTTTCTTTTATTTCGACATGTTCACTGTTTTCTTTCTTCTCATGCAGTTTTTTAAATCTGAAAAGGTTTTAACTACATGAATGTGCTAATTACACGTTTATAAGTTACGTACTCTATAATCCGTTGTCATCACGAGTCTATTGTGTATAATTTCTTTTCTTATCTTAATCCTTTTATGTGATTTTGTATTTTGTTCATTTTAAGTTTATTATGTAATATTACATGTATTTGGTAATTCAAATCTAAAGAGAAGTTAGTTAGAAATCCGAGGAGATATAAAGATTCGGACGTCAAGTTGGTGGAAACGGGTTTCACGTGTATTTGATCCGACAAACAGAAGTTGTGAAAAACAATGCCAAAATCTGTTCCCGTTGGAACAAATATTCTATAATCTTCATTCCGTTAGAAACAAATAATATTTGTTCTAGAGGAAATAGTTTTACTGACTATTTCTTCCATTTGGAACTTATATTATCGGAAGGAACTTCTATTTCAGTGAACAAAACACGAATACTGCACTTAGTCGAATATTTAAATGCATGATTGATATTGTTTATCACATCAATTGTTGATACCAAGGAATTGTACAATTCCTTGTTGATACATTAGAACTTAGATCATGATGGTCTGAATGCATGTGGTTCAGTGATTGCTAAATGCATGATTGATATTGTTTTTCACATCAATTGTTGATACATTTGAACTTAGATAATGGTGGTCTGAATGTCTGTGGTTCAGTGGTTGTTTAAATATATGATTGATATTGTTTATCACATCAATTGTTGATACATTTGAACTTAGATAATGAGGGTCTGAATGCATGTGGTTCCGTGGTTGTAGTTCTCGTTTGAATAGTTTTTAGTTACACTAGTCAATTCGGGGTCTTTTAATTATAGCTTACTGTGCGGTATGGTAAGATATCCTACACTTTATTGTTTAATAGTTTAAATTGATTGAATGTGGAAAAACGAATTCAATATCAAAAGGCAATACTTGTATTTAAATCATTAAAGGATATGGTTCCTAACTATTTACGAGAAAACTTTCATTTTACTGATAATTAATCAAAATTATAATTAAATGTTGAAAAACTATTGAAACTTCCAAAGCCAAAAAAAAGAATTTTTGAAGAAAACTTTTCTATATTCTGGTTCTCAAATATGGAACAGTTTACCAAATGAAATAAAGATGAGTAATACACTTGTTTCTTTTAAAGCAAAATGTTACAATTTTTTCATGAAAAAGGCAGATTAATATGCTTTTTCATTAAAATCTATATAAAATTGTAAATTGTGTATATATCAATATAATTATGATTATATTGTACTTAATGTGTATATTATTTTTTTTATTTTGAGGACTCTCAGGAAGATTTGTTTTAACTAAGGGATTATCCTCTTGAAATAAAGATTGTTTATGGGTTTTGCTTATTGTTGAAGGCCTTACGGTGACCTATAAATGCTTACTTCTACCATAGATATAATAGCCATTATATCTATGCTTCTACGTTACGTCATTTGGTCTCTGGTGGAGGTCTCATTGGCAATCATACCACATCTTCTTATTATTTCATAATACATTGTATTCTTTAATAGAGTTTGTGTATGAATAAAACAGAATAATCTATCTCAGGAAAATTTGGGGTGGTTTTATTTAAAAAGCAATTACTTTTTCATTTTAAAAGATAGTACCATATTAAAGGGCAGATAGCCTTGATAATTTTGAAAAGATATGGTAAATGTAAAATTACCTGAATGTTTCATAGTGACCATATTTGGATGAAAATTGAAAAAAATCTTATTGTAAAACAATTCACTGACCTACTTATATACTGCTCGATTTACTGTTTATTTGTTCAAGTACTGAATATGCATGACATATTTGCCACTGGACGTTAAGCAAACATAAAAAATACTGAAAATTCTTTTTGGACACGAGCTCCGCCCTTGAATCATCCCCTCCAATACAGCATGGGTCCTTGATTTCTCAGTTTGCTTCCCTAAAAATAAAAGTCAAATATGCGTGTATGTATGATAAAAATGGGGATAATTGTTTTGATTGCCTCATTATCCATACAGCGGACCACTTTATATAACTTTCACAAATACCAGAAATAAAACGCGGAAGAAATCCAGACCCTGACGTAACAAGACATAAATTTTCAAAAAATGCATAAAGTGAAGTCACGTCAAATCTAGCTGTGTAGTTTTCAAATCTAGTTGTGTAGTTTTCAAATTTGTCTGTGTTGTTAAGAAAAAAATGCCTCTTTCACACCCACATGTGTAATTTAAAAAAAATAGCAGTGTTTCTTCAAATCTAGATGTGAATTTTAAAACTTAACTTTATATCTTTTAGATCTAGTCGTGTGTTTTGCCTTTTTTTGCAATTTAAGTGTGCAATTTTTGTGACTACCTTAAAAGGTTTTTTTCTTTTGTGTTATTGGTAATGATTCTTAAAATTACTGAACGTGAAAAAAATTAGTTTGTACGATATTCGGGATTTTAAACGGTCAAAGTCAGCAATTTTTATATTAGGTTAGTGATATATTTTCATGATTGTATATTTTTGTTTGTTATTTTATTTACGTTTAGTTTTGTTATACACTTTTGAAGCATATAATCTATCTTGTGCATTTTTCAAAACCGATACCTTCTTAGAATGATGGTTGACTTTATCTTTACGACTGATGGAAAACTTGAGTTTTTATTGGTAATTGTTTTTCTAAGTCTTTCTGAATATTATGTGTAGTAAATAATTGAATGTTCACGTTACGCGTAAAAGAGTCAATACAAAGATAGGAAATTGCAATTTCCATGATATTTTTGTTTTTTGTTTTGTGATTTTAGCATTTAAATGTCGAACCCTTTCTTCGTTTAATTTAGATTAAATTATGTAGTAATTTCCTTTTCTAATATCAATAGAAAGCACAAACAATTTGCAAAAGTGCGATTGGTAATCTACAGATAGAAACCTCTGACAAACCTCTGTTGACCTCATTCGTATAAGATACTTCACCTTTTGTACATGTATAAGCACTTGTGATACTTAATTATTAAGAGTTCTAGTTAAACATGTCAATTGAATGACCTTTTGACATACAAGTATTTGGAACATAGAAATATAGCATCCGTTTATAGTTTGTATTACCTATTGTAGTTGAACTTGTCACTCCTTAATATCAAATCATAATTTACGTCTAGTGTACAGTTGCATCAGCTACAAACATTGACATTGAAATTGTAAAAATGAAAAGTATCGTGCTGCTTTTGTCAGTGTTTTTATGTACCAGAAATGGATCTTGTATGGTTGGCGATTACGATGCAGCCATGGCAGATCTAACTGCAGGTGGAACAAGGGTGTGTTCGTATTGTTACTACTGTTTCTTTAAAGGACTATGCAACAGTGAATGTCATCGTCCGCATAGACTGTGTAACTTTTGTCAGTTTGTTCACTATTGTAACACAAATTGTGAAGATAGCTGTTTCCTTTGGTGGAAGTAAAGAAGAATATGGATACTACACGTTCTTGTCAAAGCAGAAAAGTAGAGTTAACTTTTCTACAAAAGGAAAAATGCATCGAATTTGTTGTTCGTAAAATCATATATTTTTGGAAGAATAGCAAAGACTACTTAGTAAACTGTTAATTTCTATAACATTTAGTTTGTTTTTGGATTAAATTATTTCAAAAGTTACGCAAGGAAAGAATAGAAACTGTACTATATTTAGCAGTGAAACATAGTCGTCGTGCGTTTTAAAGAAAGGAATCGATGGTTTGATAGAAAGGGGTTTTCGATTCCTAGTTTGAAAGTTTGATAACACGTTTGTTAAAAACAATTTGATTCAATCCTAAACGCAGCTCGAACAATTCAACGAATATAAATGATACAAGTTATACACGATGTTGAGTTAAATAAAAACATGTGGAAAAAATTCAATGCTAATTAAGAAAATTATCTAAATATTATGTTTTTTTCTGCCTTAGTTGTAATTCAACAAATTTCAACTTATTACTAGATCTAAATGAACCTTTATTATTCTAATAAACAGTGTACAACCTTTACAATTTTAGATTTTTTTTTACAAATATCATATTCGGGATTCTTCTCAACGAATTGATGAATCCCAACTACGATATTGTATAAATGACTTCATGTCTTCACTCTACAAAGTCCGTCAATGTTTTTCTATTGAATTAGAGGCAACTTTTTATGTTTGTTAACTTGATTTTTCTTTTTAATTGATTTTTGAGATTTGAACATCGGTCAACTACTCTAGTGGAGGTCACTTTATATAGGAGGATGCAGATAGTATAAAAATTAATTCTGATGCTATTGATTGGGGGGATTTGTCGATGGCTAGTGTAGTTTTCTATATCTAGCATTGGATTGAAAGAAGTGCCCAGACAGATGTTAAAATTAAAAGGGAACAGTAAGTAGCTTATCGATGTTAAAATATCTTAAATGAATTAAGAAAATACACATATTTAGATTTGAAAAAAAAACACTTTTTACAAATCTCATGACTATTCTGGTAACTAAAGACCTAATTAAGACCTTTAAAACATGTCGCATCGTATCGATCAAGCAATTCGTAAATGTGAATGTAAAACTGGTAAGTAATGATGATGCTATTGGCTTTCTTATATTTTTTGCTATTAAACAAATGAAAGATAAAGTCTAAACCTGCCCGTTAGGCGAGACCATATGGAATTATAATGACATGATCTGTTATTGAAGGATTAACATCTGATACTACTATTGCTTGGATACTATAAGACTCCTTACAGAAACGTAACAGTAATAGTACGTCAAGTGTATCTCTAACATTTTGATACAGCAAGGCAGGGTTTTTCTTTTTGACAGGCCTTCATAGATAATTACCAAGCAGGGAACAAATACAATGTATATTTATTGTATCCACCAACAGTGATAATTCGAAATCTACTGGCATGATAACATGAAATAGAGAGGGGTAGATATAAAAGAATTCATAGAGAAAATAGAATATGTAAACATTTTAATATAAATGAGGTTGAAGATGAAACCCACTTTTTCTTAAAATGTAAAATTAATAAATCTTTACGTAATCAGCTTGAGAAAGATATAAATAATATATGTCCAGAATACTTTAAATTGTCTAAAACAGATAGATTACAATTACTTCTATCTTCATTTGATATTATGCAGCTTACTGTTCCGTTCATTAAAAAGTCATTTGCACTGAGGGGAGTGGACACAACACCTGCATAAATATTACTGTTTACCACTTTATATATGATGTTTAATATGTTATAACTTAAGTTTTGCATTGTGTATATATTTGTATTGTATTGTTTATATATGCCTTCAACCCCTAAGGGTATAAATGTGCATTTCATTAATAAATAGATAACAATCTGTCCGACTATAGAGAAATACTTATGATGAGTTTTGTATAGATAGTATGTTGGAACTAGATGGTCAGAGGTATGCTTCACGGTCTGTTAATCAGCGATTGTATACAACTGCAGAGCGAGTCAAGTTGTTAAGACCAAATGTGTTTTTTTCAAGACTATATACATTGGCTTTATAGGTTTGATACTTTAATCCTGGTATTTGTGTTGGCTGTAAATTTGAGCCACATTTACTGGGAAATAATTCAATAAAATTGAGGATGGAAATGGGGAATGTGTCAAAGAGACAACAACTCGACCAAAGCACCCGCACCAAAGAGCAGAAAACAGCCCAAGGCCATCAATTGATCATCAACACAGCGAGAAAATCCTGCACCCGGAGGCGGGATTCAGCTGGCCACTAACCAAATGTGTACTAATTCAGTGAAAATGGACGTCACACTAAACTCCGAAACATTTAAATGAACTAAAATTAAACATACAAGACTAACAAAGGCCAGAGGCTCCTGACTTTGGACAGGCGTAAAAATGCGGCGGGGTTAAAATGTTTTGTGAAATCTCAACCCTCCCCTATACCTCTAGCCAATGTAGAATAAACAAACACACAACAATACGCATAGTAAAACTCAGTTTAAAAGAAGTCCGAGTCCGATGTCAGAACAGGTAACAGAAGAAACTAAGCAGAAAGACAATGATACATACATTAACAAAGGACTACTAGCAGTAACTGACATGCCAGCTCCAGGCCTCAATTAAACTGATTGAAAGATTATGTCTTCATAATATGAAAAGCAAGCACAATCCCTCCCTTTAGGGGTTAAGTTAGTATCATACCATCATAAAGTATATGAGAAGAACAAAACTCGTAAATATAGTTCAGTAAGAGCATTTATCCTTTTGTACTGGGCTTTATCAGTCCTTTTTGTAGCTTCCCTATTCGCTGGTATAGAAGAACTAATCAGTTTGAAAGTATTCCACACGATTTATGACCGTCTTTGCAAGATTGTGATATCAATTTTTAATTCAAATTTAGCAAAGGTAATTTATCGATGTTCAATCACATAAACCGACTTATAGGCCGACAAAGCAGCCAACAATGTGGTGGTGGTATGACGTAATTACTACACGGAAGTCCTTAATGAAATTATACATTCAACTACATTCAAGGCCGTACGCTCCATAGAGAGTCATATAGTAAATAATCATGTCACTACCACAGTTCAGCTTAAGGCCTCCTCGAAACATTTGAAGGTCCCAACTCTGTATTGGTTACCTAAACTACACAAAAAACCCGTAAAATATCGTTTCATCTTGGCCTCTAGTAAGTGTTCTACTACTAATCTTTCGGTGCTTTTAACGAGTTCCTCAACTACTATCAAAGAACTTATCGTTAATTTTTGTAATAACACATATGAAAACAATGGAATGAACCATTTTTGGAGTGTAAAAAATTCTTTGGATGTTTTAGATAAATTACATACATTTGATGGTCATTTTGATTCGGTTGACAGTTTTGACTTTTCCACTCTTTATACTACACTTCTACACAATCTTATCAAATAAAAGTTTTTCTATCTAATTAAATGGTCGTTTGATATATCTGGTTGCACATTTATTTGCTGCAACTCATATAAAGCCTTTTCTCTAATGAGAAAGGTAAATATGCTAGATATACTTACTGGAGGTGTGATGAGATGATTAAAGCACTAAATTTTCTCTCCTTGACAACATTTATGTATATTTCGGCAATAAAGTTTATCGACAGATTGTAGGTATTCCTATGGGCACCAATTGTGCCCCTTTAATAGCAGACTTGTTCCTTTACTGTTTTGAATCACAGTTTATGACCAAACTCAGATAAATTCAACAACACTTACCGTTATCTTGATGATATTTTTTCGTTAACTAATCAAGAATTCTCTAACTATACTGCTGAAATTTACTCAAAGGAACTTACTTTAAATAAATCTAATATCAACAACAATATCTGTCCTTTCCTAAATTTTGATATTTCAGTATTACACCAGAAACTCTACACAAAAATTTACGACAAAAGGGATGATTTTTCTTTCCCTATTGTTAATTTTCCCTTTTTGGACGGTGATGTTCCTTTGGCACCGTCTTACGGTGTTTATATATCCCAACTCGTTCGCTATGCTCGTGTTTGTAGTGACGTTTGGGATTTTAATGAGCGTAATCTATGTATCACTAGTAAATTATTAAGTCAGGGATTTTGTTACCACAAATTACTTAAAACGTTTACTAAATTCTTTCATAGATTCAAAGATTTGGTATGCAAGTTTGACTGTATCTGTAGACAACTTATATAGCACACCCTAAATTTTACGGTGATGTTGTAAACCGAGCCCGGAAATTTAGATACGACCTGCGTAAGCTTATCAATCCTTTAAATAAACTTATTCTAAAAGGTTACCTATTCAACACTATAATTAAATCTTTGAATATTGTTTTTATCGGTGTAAATATTGATTTTGTTATCACTAAATTAAAATCATACTAAATATTACACATATGTACTTTCACGGTACTACAATCTGTTGATACTTATAGTTTGGCAATGCACCAGGTCATGTTTTTCTCTGACTGTGAATGACGTCTTTACACTAAATCCATTTTTAGTCTTAGATACATGATTTTTTTCATTAGTTGTTATTGTCTTTGAACTAACTGTCAGCAACCTGCGAGTACTCTCAGATCTGTACTTATTGTATTTTTGTTTTTGGGATGTATAAGTACCCATCCACGTCCACTTTGTGTTTTTGTTAGATGTATTTCTGTTTGTATCCATCTGATGAGTTAAGCCTTTTTCAACTGATTTTTATAGTTTGTTCTTATGTTGTACTGTTACACCACTGTCCCAGGTAAGGGGAAGGGTTGAGCGCTCACAAACATGTTTAACCCCGCCACATTCTTTGTGTGCCTGTCCCAAGTCAGGGGCCTGTAGTTCAGTGGTTGTCGTTGGTTCATATCTGTCATATTTGTTTTTCGAAAACTGTTTTGTTATAAATTAGGCCGTTAGTTTTCTCTATTGAATTGTTTCATATTTTTCATGTCGGGGCCTTTTAAGCCGACCATACGGTATGGGTTTTTCTCATTGTTGAAGGTCGTACGGTTGCCTATAATTGCTTACATCCACTCCATTTGAACTTTGGTGGATAGTTGTCTCATTGGCAATCATACCACATCTTCGTATTTTTATAAGAAGACAAAATCAAGGTAACTAAGGAATCGCATGAACCCCAAAAGGAGCAAGAGCGATTATTTCTACACGGTAAGCATCTCCTGCTATACATGCATCACCAGCCATGCTGTCCACACTCAGCCAAAATGTCACAATCGAGAATACGAAACAAAGTGGGTAAAGTTACAGATTAGACGAATACTCTGGTATCTAAACACCAAGACAGTGAAAACAAGTAACCAGTGAGTTAAGACATATATTCCGTATCTGTCAACCAATATGATGGTGACAGAAAAACTTATGTAGTGTTGATTTCAGTCGTTCTTCCTAAAAAACTCAAGAGGAGTTGTGGTATTTGTAAGGCGCTCATCCTGCTAATGACATCCGCATAGTGTGAACATACATAAGCGTAGCTTATCAATTTAGATATGTAAACTCCATACGATCTTTCAATTAAGCATGGGGAATAGTGGTGTAAAGCGCATGCAGAAAAATCAGAAGTTTTGTTATTATTGTAAAATACGAAACTATGATCATAGTATATAAAACTGCAGTTCATGGGTACTGGTTTAATGTATCAATAAACATACAGATGTGTGTATCTTAGAAAAAACTACTTTCGACAATTTATTTTTCAATATTATTAATATACTGATACTCTGAAAAAAGTAGTCATACATGTACTGCTAACAAATAAAGTGAAAATACCTATAAATCTAAATACAAAATATATCAGTTTGTATAACATAACATCAAAATCTTTTTGCATTATAATGGATAACGTAATCTGAACAGTCAAGATATAAAATGTTCATTACAGATTACATTGTAACATGTACGGTAACACATAAGTTTAAAATCAATTACACATCTTTTTATTTGAAGTAGATGTATATCGTGTAAAATTTAAGTTCAAGATTGGAAAGCCTGCTACGCAATATTTTCTCCCTCCATATTAATTCCCCTGTATATCAAATGACTTTCTACAATCTCGTCTATCTTTCTTCTCATTCTGAGAACTTTTCTTCTCTCATTTAAAGAGCACATTCGTTTTAAAAGTTTCGGAATAAAACTGACAAAAAGTGTCGTTGCGGTTTGTGTGACAACATTCAATTCTTGAAAACCATCAAAATTCACTAAAATACCCAAAGAAATATAAAGACAAAATATTATAATACTGATTTTTATAACTGAGACAAACACTTCAACTCGTATTGGTTTGTATGTATGAACAATATATTTATAAAGATCCAGCGGGATATTTGCACCTTCAACTTCTCTTTTGTACAAATGTTGCATAATGCCCAGCTTCTTCCCTTTTCGTTTACAAACTTTTTTGGTTTGTACAAAAAGTTGTTCATATGTATCATTTACTGAATGAATACTGTCGTATATATACATAACAATTGTTATTCCGAATATCACCCATCCTTCTGTATAACTTGGGTTTACAAATAGCCCAGTATATGTAAAAATAGCAACTTTTGCAATAAATATAAAACTGTCAACAAATATAATGGAAAACATATAAAAAGTTATCATTAACATCACAAATATGCAAGGTAAAATAAAAACAACCAAGCATTTCCCAATAGAACCTTTGTCGCCTAGCAAAGTTATCAGATTTCTTGTGTATGCTTTGAATACGATCAATATCCCAAAAATTGTAGGAAAACCAAAAAATGCAACAGTTAACAATAGTTCAATTAAACAAGCAAATAAATAAAATAAACCTACTATAATTAAAAAGATGTAAGTAAAAATACCACGGTGAATGCGGTTTGTGAAATACTGAAATCTGCCGAGTTGTAAATCTAATACATATCCCCAAAAGCATGGATTTAATAATGAAAAAATATTGGCCAGCATTGTTTGGTGAATTTTTGTATACCCTCCTTGGCCATTACATAAAACACGTTTAGTTCCAAACCGTTCTCTTAATCTTAAATTCATTGTCAAGGGTGACGATGGTTCCGAATTATTTACTGGAAGTCCACTTACAAGTGTTTCTCCAAGATCTCGTGGTACAGTAATGAAAATTATCAAACATCCGATATACGCACCTAACGCAACAAATGGTCCTCCGAGAAATATTAGAAAATTGTCTTTGCTTCGCTGGTATCCAGCTATCATTGATAAGAAATCCTTTGGGGCGCCTTGCTTGACACTTTCGATAATAAAATCTCTGTGGTATATAAAATGAACCAAAACTTTCAGAAAAATAACAAGAAGACTTGTCACTGCTAATAAACATCGAATTATTCGCGAGGTAGTGATTGGATGAATCAAACAGCAGCGTCTGATTGGACTTGCAATTATTGAAAGTACAGTGATCGGGTTATGGTTTATCCATAATATTTCAAGTGGTCCCGATTCCTGGAGCAGCGGTGTTGATTCGTTTGGATTACCTTTCTGTTGATCGACGACTGGCCTTAGAAGCATGAATATATTGTCTATTCCATTAGCATCTAAATGCTTATAGATATATGACAGAACCCAGGCGAGTACTATTCCGAAATAAAGATAAAGCACAACACCAATCACAAATGGACATATCCACCATACACTTCCGAATTTAAATGATTCGCCAGGACATATGATCGTCATATTCTTTGTATTGACATCAAATATCTGTTTGCAACATTTATAGCCTATAGTTTCTACAGGGCAGATGACTTGTTTGCATAATTTGTACAAAAACAGGCTTTCGATGAAGATTCTAGTTTTGAAACACCAGTAGCTATAGTTGTATTGGTCATGCATCTTGGCTAGATCATGGTAAAGGTCGGCAAACGCCAAAGCAAATCTTTCCGTGGTATTTTTCTGTCCAATAGCTATATTACAATTACCTTTAACCGTTATGTTAAGCCATAGTGGTAATGAAGTGTACTTTTTTAGCATCCCCATGGAGAGAGTTTCATATTCTGCTGGCCAATCAAGATACTGTTCACCTCCTTCAAAACCATCGAATGTCCAAACCCATTCTAATGGTTGGATTACACATCTCGTGTATTTCACCGTCGACGAATGATTACAGAACTGAAAATGCAAGTTAACAAACCTGTACTTGAATTTTGTCACTTTATATGTAAAATATTCCTTACTCTCCGGGGTAAAGTGAAACGAACAGTCTTTGTCCAATTTTCTCTGATCCTTGTATGGCCGAACATCAGCGTAGTCACTGCATCTTATTTTCGAAGATTTCGCTACGTTTGTATAACAAAAACTCTTCTTTCTGTGAGAAACTAAATTTGTTATGCTTTCACTTAATGTTGCATTAAAAAAATAATAAAGAATGATACATAATAATCCTATTTCCATATTTCAATTTGATGTTCTTCAAATGTCCCAGTTATATGTTGACAACATACCTGTGTTTCACCTGTGTATATCTATTTTTGTGTCAAAGCCATGCCAATTTGAATTGTAATGGGTTTTCCAATCGTCATTTAAATCCCGAAATCGTGGTCGGGTTTCATATATTTACAGGACTTCTCACACTTACTTATTTAATCATATATTTAATGTACATATACTTCCTAAATATGTATCTATTATATGCGGAAATTATGCAACTGGTTAATTGCTTTCTTCCTAAAATCTCGTGATACGTGCATCGTTATCAACGTTTTTGTAGTTATTTATTTTTTTAAAAGCAGGATAATGAAGATGTGATTTTATTCTAAAATATGATTTTTTTTTAGTTCAATTGACTTTCTATAAGCCCGGTATACGCATTCCTTTGAAAGTCCGGGAAAAAACCACTTTATAAATCTGACACTCCATTAGTCGGACTCCATATAATCTGACAAGGTTTAACAATTACTTCATAAACTTGTACTTCTTTTACGAGTCTTTTTCTATACAATGTGGTCTTGTAGCTGTAGTGACAAAGCCAATGAAGTTCAACTATCATGGGTGAAATGGACCGTCCGAATTTGACCCCTTTTGAAGTTTGTCAAAGTAACCCATGCCGATGAGCTCAGCAGGTCAGTAGAATCGAAAACATGTGCTTTCTTTAATTTATTTTGAAATGACTAATAATCATCAAATTTCTATGGTTTCCTTTTAAACTGACACCGAATAAAGTAATTTGGTCATTTATATTTTATTCTACTTTTAAAACAAATTGAATTCTTAAACCGTTTCTCCATTTATATATAACATAATACCCTAAGTCATTCAATGGTATAATTGAATAGTATATACCTTACAAATATCTAGACAACATGTTGAATGCACAGTATTTATAGGTCATTTATTTTGAACTTTCAGTATCGGTGTATTAAAAAACTTCCTCATGTGACTTAACACAAACGATTTAAATGTACTGAAAATTTAAATACACTTCCAAAAAATAACAGGTGGAAATTCCGATTTGAAAAGACTAACGCTGCTTAATTCCCATATTGAACATTTCTGTGATGCAGATATTCGCAATGCCAGATAAAAAGAATTATTTGTTATTGTTAGTATATTCTGTGTTAAATTTAAGATTGTCTTACTGTCACTATCAACAACCGAACGTTTTTCTGTCAGGTGTTACCGATTCTGGAAATATGTCGAACATTGCCAATTCTTCTGAAGGCATACCATGTAGTCGTTACAAGGAATTAAGACCGTACAATAACAGAAATGCTTTGGATAAAGAATGCATTATTTCTTTTACTCCTAGTAGTAAACAATACTTTACCTATAAAGTTATGAAATATAAATTCAAGTTTGTGCCAATCCATTTGAGGTTTCTGAACTTGTCATCACATAAGGAAATTCATTATACCAGATGTGTGATCCAACCCATGGATTGGATTTGGACATTTCGTGGAGTTGAGGGGAACTACGGAGGACGACAGTATCTAACCTGGCCACCGGAATATGGAACGCTCTCAATTGGCATGTTAAAAGCACACACTTCAACACCACTTCACATGAACCTAACCGTTCAAGGTAAATGTGACTTAGTGATTGGTGCCAAAAATACAACAATGCGCCTGGCAATGGCTTTTGATAATTTTACCAATGATCTTGCATTGACCAAAGATGAATATAATTATAGTTACTGGTGTTATAAAGAAAGAATATTTGTTGAAAATTACTTTTTATATCAACTTTGTTTGCACGTCATTTGTCCAATTGAGACAATTGGTTATAGATGCTGCAAACATACATATGACGTTAACATACATGGATTTACTATCCGCTGTCCTGGACATTTCTATGTGTTTGATGGTGTATGGTGGGTGTGTCCATTTGTAATCGGCTTTATATTATATTTATACTTTGCATTAATGCTTTTTTCTCTTCTATCTGTTTTATACAAACACCTGCCGTTGATAGCTGGGCATAGTAGCAACAACGTTCAACAAATTCCAAGTGCACGCAAACAACAATATAAAAATATGTCAGCAAACATTTACAGAAATTCAAAAGAAAAGGAAAAATGGATTCACCATAATCCAGTTACTCTGTTTGCAATTTGTGTCATGCCGCTTAGAAAGTGCTGTCGTCTGTATCCGGTTCTGACGTCTCGAGTACTGCGTTTTATAATTGCTGCTTTAAGTGTTGCGATTATATTTATAAAAGTGTTTGTTCATTTTCAATACGACCGCGCATACATAATAGAAAGTGTTAAACAGGGAGCGCCTATGAATTTTCTATCAATGATAGCTGGTTACCAACTGAGCAAAAATAACTTCTTAATATTTCTTGGTGGTCCGTATATTGCACTCGGGGCATATTTGCTGTGTTTTTTTGTTTTAGTTTGCTCTCCGAAATGTTTTTCAGACTTTCTTAAAGTGGGTTTACCCGAGAAAGCAAACAAACCAAGATTTGTTGTAACGATCGATTTAAAGCTACGAGAGTTTTTTGGTTCACGCAGGATTCTTACTATTCGAGAAGACGGGTATGGAAAGATTCAGAAAACCATGCTTGCAAACATATTTTCACTGCTCAATCCGAGGTTTTGGAAATACGCAATTTCACTTCAAATTGACCGATTCAAACATATTGCGGAAAAATTAATTGGGGAGAGTCTAGTTCTTAATTGTTTCAAAGTGATAGCTTTTATCTTTCCTTATCTTACTTTTTGCTTCGTTGAATTGCTTTTTACATTAATGTGTTATGGTTTTCCGACTGTTTTTGCTATTGGACTAGTCTATCGAGCTTATTCCAGGAACGTTTATGATTGGTTAAAAAACAGTAGGATAGGGTACCCAGCTATGTTTGTTGTGTTACCTGTTTGTATTGTTCTACTAACTTTTACTGTTTATATGTTTTCTATAATTTTTATTGATAGCTTTATTTTCTTGTCGAGAGTTGCAATTTTTACATATACCGGTCTTTTTGCAAACCCAAGTTACACAGAGGGATACCTTATCTTTTCTATTACTGTAACAATGTACTTGTATGATAGCACCAACTCCATTAATGAGACTTACGAACAACTCTTCAACCAGACAAAGAAAGTATGTAAACGATTGAATAGGCAACTTGCAGAGGATTGTCCTGTTATACTGCACACAAAGGACATTGAAGGAGCTAGAATTCCGCTTGAGTTATACATGTTTGTAGTAGACGCTCAAAAACCAAAAAGAGTTGAAATTTTAAAATCGTTTCTTAAAGTAACCACCATATTCTTATGTTTGTACATTTCTGTTGGTATATTAACGCGATTTGATGGATTTCAGCAGCTTTCTGTAGTAACACAAACTGCAACCACAACTTTTGTGTGTCTCGTTCCAAAAATATTTACCAGAATGTGTACTTTAAATGAAAGACGTGAAATTCTACAAATGAGAAGTAAAATTCATAAACATGTTGAACATTTTCTTCTTTGTAAAGGAGTTGATTGTGGTGGAATAAAATCATCGAGTGGAACTGAAAACATGACTATTGACTCAGATGTTGAAAATAGCTTATCCTGAATGCAATTTTAATTATTGTAAAAATTAACATGGAGATGAATATATAGATCAGTATTAATAATAAAATGATAAAATATTCATACAAAAACCACTTTTTAGTGTGGCAAAACTTGCCAATGATCAGTAAATTGTGCTTACCAAGCGGTAACGTCATTATATTTGAAGCAATATTGCATGCGCTGCATGCAATACCGGCGAATATTACACACTTACTTTTGGTAAATTCTACAGGAATATAAATTTTCTAGTTATACGTTGCGGATTCAGGATGTTGAAAGGGGGATGGGGCTGGCAAGTCAACGTTTGGAGCGGTACTTGTAAAAAGTCTATGCATTTATCATCGATGTAGAAAGTCACATAAGATTTGCCCTTCTATTTTGATCATCATAGTCCTTAAAATTAGATTAATATATACAAAGGCAATTATGAGAAGGCAGTCGACAAAAAAATCATGAAAAGATATATTTCATTCGAATCGACAATTAGAACACAGCCAATTTTACAGACTCGATCTACTCTCTTTTTCTAACAGATAGATTTAAAATTTGTATAAAAATCCGGTTGCAATCAGGTAAATCCATTGTAAACCTTTAGTTTTCCGTGTAATATTTTATGGACACCATTTAGTTAAGTCTTTGCTTTTGTGCGTATTTTTCAGGTAATTTTAGTATTTTCGAGGATTTTTGTTTCGATCGGGTGTCTGTCTTTCGTTGAATTATTCTTTGCATTGTCCAATTGGCATGTCCTTATGTTCTTTTTTTTACTTACCTTGTGCCACTATGTCTTACTTTGTTTAGAATTTACGCTCTCCAGACTGTTGTCACGCTCCTGTTCATTCATTCGATACATAATGTATGAAAAAAGAAAACTCGCATCTTTCTTTTTTGATTGTCATCGTAAATGTATGCTATTAAGGGATTACAGAACAACATAAATGTATTATTTACTAGGACATATAATCAGAGTGCCTGTCACCGTTACTTTCAGTAAATTGAACGATAGCGCCAGTTCTTTTCTATTGAGAGCCTTGACTGCATGGAAGACAATCAAGAAAAACATAATGCTGGTAAGAAAGGTTCTTTTTCTAATATATCAAATTATTTTACAGATAGATAGTGATATATGATTCTTTTTCTTTACTAAAACTTGACCTGTTTTATTCGTCTTGTATTCCCCCCTTATTCATATTCCGGTGAAGTCTTTTTTTTTTCAGTCTTAAAAACTATAATACAATTATCATTGACAAGTAAGTCTATATATTTTACAATCGAAACGTTTCCACACCGAAGCTGTTATATACACGTAAATGGGTACATCTGGAGCATAAAAAGGGAAGAATAGTTTATCGTTTGTTTGCAAATTAATGTCCCTTTTCAAACTTTTCATTTGGTATACTCCCAATATAATGTAACGTACGATATAAGATTTGCAGTAAACTTACACTCCCGTGAAACCTCATTGTATAATGTATGCGATGCTTTTCTTACTGCAATGAAAGCGCGTGATGGCAAGCAGTTGTAAAAAACGAAATGCTGTTGGAAATGTATATCTTAGATAACGTCCTAGTTCTCTTTTGTCTTAAAATACGAATGGT